ATGACGAATGGGACTTCGTCGAAACGTCGCCAAGATACTTCCAATTTTACGCAGGAGAAAACCCGAACAACCAAAGACCTTCATACAAACACCCGCGAAAACCTCAGAAAACACACATATGTATATATATAAAAAATGACACCAGACCCACACTCACAAAAACCACACAAGATGTCACCATCACACATCCACGCAAAAAGCAAACCCAAAGCCACACCGATGATGAGGCACGACCACAAACCAGAAGCCAGACCATAGCTGCATCATTAGCCACTTTAAACCCCTCCAATCCATACATGAAGCAAACTGACACCCACCATGAAGATGAGGCACGACCACGAACGCAAAGCCAAAAAATAGCAATGCAGCTCACCATTTTAAACCCCCGTGCAACTCAGAGTAACCTGAGCACAACAAAGCCCCCACCCAAACAGAACACTCCCCCATCCAATCAGAGCACAGCCAAGCCCCCATCCAATCAGAGCACAGCCAAGCCCCTAACCAATCAGAACACAACTCCACCAGTCAGAACACAGCCAAGCTCCCACCCAATCAGTTCATACCCCCACTGGCAGTTAAAAGGAAGAAACAGCTACGATCACACATTGCTCCTAGAAGCACAAAGCCGAAAACACCAGCCTGAAGATGACGAATGGGACTTCGTCGAAACGTCGCCAAGACACTTCCAATTTTATGCGGGAGAAAACCCGAATAGCCAAAGACCTACATACATACATACATGCATGCATGCATGCATACATACATACATGATATATGCAGTGTTATCTTCATTTTAGATGTCAAAAGGGTCTCTCTATCTCTGTCTCTCTCTCTCTACCTCCCTCTTTCTTTCCTCTCACACTCTCTTTCCTCTCCCTCTCTCTTTCTCTTTCCTTTCTCTCTTTCCTCTACCTCTCTCTTTCCTCTTTCTCAGTCTTTCCTCTCCCTCTCTTTCTCACTCTCTTTCCTCTCCCTCTCTCTTTCTCACTCTCTTTCCTCTCCCTCTCCTTCTCTTTTTCCTCTCCCTCTCTCTTTCTCTCTCTCTTTCCTCTCTCTCTTTCATTCTTTCTCTCTCTCTCACTCTCTTTCCTCTTTCTCTTTCCTCTTCTCTTTCTTTCCTCTCCCCCTCTCTTTCCTCTTTCCCTCTCTCTTTCCTCTCCCTCTCTCTTTCCTCATCCTCTCTCTCCAAACAAGGAGAGAGAGAGAGAGAACAAAAGGCAGACAGAGTGGAAGGAGCAGGGAGAGGAGGGGGGCAGGAGGCAGCAGAAGGTGCTGAAAGGGGCCTGGGGCACCACAGACTGGCATGGGGAGACGCGTGGCCAGCTTGGCTGCCCAGGGAGCGCCCCAGGGACGGTTCAGGGAGCAATTCCATGCCGGCTGCCGCCCCAGCCAGGACTGCTGCCCAGGGGGCAGCAGGAGGAAGAAGGGGAGGAGGAGGGCGAAGAAGCCGTTGCCGCCCCAGCCGGGATTGCTGCCTGGGGAGCCACAGGAGGAAGAAGGGGAGGAGGAGGAAGAGGGCGAGGAAGCTGCCACTGCCCCAGCCAGGACTTTGCGCTGCCCGGGCTTGCCCTCCGCCCATGGGATGTAGCCCTGGCTGGCTGCTGGGAGGGGGCTGGTGCCGCTCTGGCCCTAGCTGTGATGCTGCAGCTGCTCTGGCTGACCGGCCCCTGCCAGCCCCTCTGCCAGCCTGGCCACCCCCCCCAGGTGCCCCTCTTGCCGCTCGGGAGGCAGGAGGAGGAGGAGGAGGAAGGCGAGGAAGCCGCCGCTGGACCCCAGGAGGAGGCGCCCCTCTGCGGGTCCAGCCAGGGCTGCTGGTGTCCAGCAACTCTGGCCAGAAGGGGCTGCTCTGGTACAGGTATGCCAGGGGGGTGCCACCTGCCCCATAGCCGGATCGTGGTGGCGCTCCACAGACTTGAAGCCCCCTCCCTCCCCCTGCCACCGACCCTCCGTCTCCAGCTATGCTGCTGGTTGGAAAATACCTCCCCCCTCCTTTTCTCTCCCCCCCATCTTCTGCTCACCTCACATTCTTCGCCAACAAGCTGACTGGGCTGGCTTTAAACCAGCTCTCTTCTCCTGCCATTGCTGCGTCTCCCTCTTCCTTCCCAGCAGCCGGGACTCCAGTGCGCCTTCCCGGCCAGCGGGGCCAACAGTCACATCGGCTGGGGATCACAGGGGCTGCTCTCCCTCGGGGTCATGGTTTGTGGGAGGGCTGGCCTGCTAAGCGGAGGCTCTGTTGGGCCGCTCCCAGTGGGGATCCTGGGGCTTCCCCATGCGGCTCCCCAGCTACATGCGCCTCGGACGGGGCCAGCCCAGGAAAGGGACTTCCTGGCCACGCTTCTCCCAGGGGGCGGGGCACCCAGGCGCAGGGCCAATCAGTAGTCCTACAAGGGGGAAAGTCCGCATGTGTGTGTGTGTGTGTGTGTGAGAGAGAGAGAGAGAGAGAGAGAAGGGAAGCACAAGTGCCTCTCTCTGTCTCTCTCTCTGTAAATGACGGAGGAGGCTTGGAGCTGCATCAGAAAGCTCAAACAGCCACATGCGGCTCCAGAGCCGCGGTTTGCCAACCCATGGCTAGAGGGATTGGACTTATTTTTTAAAAAAAATTAAGATATCATACAATTTTATTTCTATAGACCTTGAAGAATAATGGCGCAACATACTCCCCATGTTATAAAAATTGGATTAGATATTTACCAATTGGAAATTACTCATCTCATGCTGGTCTTAAATGAAGATGTTACATTGATAAAAAGTATCTCTAGGCTGCAGGAGTGATGATTTAATTTATATACTGCCCCATGGTCTTTACAGCACATTTTTCACATTTCATGAATCTCAGTTCAGGTGATAATGAACAAGCCAGATAGCAGTCACCTTCTGTTGATCTTAAATCTATAACTTTCTCCATGGACCTTGATAAATTGAAATTGTAGAAGAGTTTGCAAGGTGTAAACTTGGTCTTGTAGAAGTGCAACCTGATCAAAAATGAGTAGAATGGTATTCTACTGGACAACCAAACTTTTACCAACATAGAATAGAGATCTTTTAGTAACACAGAACATAGAATAATAGGATTGGAAGGGATCTTGGAGATCTTCTAGTGACTAGTCCCCAACAATCTATGTCCTCGTTTTACCAGCCTTGGAAGGATGGAAGATCTAAGTCCCTGATTGTTTAATTCTGACTGTGTTATGAGATGAAGCTCACTAGACATATATGGTTTAAAATTTGGATCATTGTCACTGTCTGTGCCTAGCCAGTGCATTGCTGCATCTTCATCTATTTTGTCTAAGCTCCATTTCTCTGGTGGTTTTGCTACAGGCATATTGTAATTGTGTGTCATTGATGTCATTGCTGAAGGCAAATTGTGGTATTTAATTTATTTTTTTTAACAATCTGTCATGTGTTCATTCTGTTCTTGCCATATCATTGGGGCAACAAGCAGCACTGACTTCCAAGCTTTAAAATTTAAATTAACAGCATATCTTGTACAATAAATATGAGGAGCTCAGGACTTGTCTTGATCATTAATATTACAAGCAAGTCTTTTGCTTTCTTAACAAGTCCAGTCATGCTGCATCTTTGAGCCTTTAAGTGTGTATTCACCACAAATATAACAGAACCTATTACGGCTGTTCTGACATTCCAAGACATTCCTGCTGTAATCAGTATCCTACAGCAAGTCTATAACTGGCTTACTTGTTATGTAAATTATATGTATCAAGACAATGTTATGCCTTGAAACAATCGTATCAAAATACATGGGAAACTGATATCATCAAAATGAGTGGCATCTGTGCATGTGAGCTGCTTTTTGTAGCCTTTCCAGGCAGCATCCATCCAGCATCCATCCCGCCTAAGCATATGTAGGCATGCCCAAACTGTATATTTCACAAACACTATACAGAATGCCCTGAGTGCTTGCCTGGACAAGCACGAGCTAAACAAAGCATCTTTTAATGTAAGTGAAAATTAGTAAAAAAAAGTATATGTAAAAAGAAATTGCAAAAATAGGTTCCCATAAAACAGGAATGTGATAGGTTACACTTACAGGCTACTTTAATGATTAGCTACCAAAAATCTATAAGACACACCAAGGGTGTCAAATTGCTCCTGGAGGCCGGACGTGTCAAAACTGCCCGATACGTTGTGCGACGTCACGTGATGTCACAAATTTGACATGTCTGAGATAAACCAAAAGTATTATATGCTGGGTTCCTCAGCCCAACAATGCTGTTGCTATGTTGCAAGATCCTGATTGTGGTATGTGGAACCTACTACTGCCTTTTCTGGATTCCCAGGTAAAGAAGATGCTGTCAGTCTCTATTCCTGATACCCCCTTATTCTCTGTTGGATGAAGTAGCGTGGCCATTTTCCACTTCTTCCCATTAACCTTTTCTTTTGCCAACCACAGCAAGATCATAACAAAATCTTGCAATAAGTTCTTGCAGCAGATAATCCTGCTAAAGCGTCAGTCATGTTTTATATAGGGCTCCATGCTCCTGGTTCCAGTCCTAACAGCCACTCTAATGACAGTAGTGGCTCACTGCAACTTGGAGAAACATTACCACTCACGTAAGCTCTGCAGGGGCCAGTCAGTCAACACAGTGACCATAACCTGAAGCTACACGTATGGAAAAGAGACCTTCATTTCCCTCTGGAATGGAAGCATTCTAATAATCAGATTCTTCTCAGTCTCTTCTCTTCCAATTACTTAAAAAAAGTCTGACTTAATATTTCAATGAGCTGAAGTCTTACTGTTACATTTCTGGCTAAATAAAATTTTCTAGTCTCTTCTGAGCCTTAACTGCTTTAACTGTTTACTGCCACTTGCTTTTTTCCTTTCCTTTTTTGTCTTCTTGCCTTTTCAATTAAAGCAGCACACATATATGTACAATAGTCTAATACAAAAAATAAAAGCAATAAAAATTCAAACAATAAAATCATTTCCTTTTAAACGCATATCTAAGATGTATCCACAGATTTTTCTTTCTTCTATATAGAGAAAGAGAGTCATCCACCTCGGAAGTTTCCTTCTGATAAGATATTCGAAGCCATTTCTTCAATGTTTCCTGATAAGGGTACAGCAGAAGAATTGAAAGAAAAGTAAGATGTTATTAAATTATGTAAAACAGAATCTCCATTTCTGGAGAAATGATGTAATATAGTCATAGCAAATTGTAGGATGTGGTTAACCAAATTTTTAAATTAGGTTGCTAAATTTGTAGACTTAGATTGGAATTCCAAATTATCTGAACCTATTAATATTAATCAAATGTTTGAAAAGCATATTATTTGACTTTGTGAAAATGATTACATTTTGAATATGTTATTTGGGTCCCTGTCTCATTTTAAAATCAACAAAAAGTTAGTGTAGCGATTAAGGTTTTAGATTAAAACTTTTAAGTATAATTTTATCACTCACTGGGTGATTTAAAAGTAAACCCTCTCTTTTAACCTAATGTATCTCATGAGATTGCTGTTGGTATAAAATGTAAATACCCATGGAAGGTAATTTTAACTCTTGGTGGGCTATAAGTCCAAGGAATGCATAATAAATGTTCTTTGTACTGTTATTAATAGGAAATGATAATGTCCAATACTGAAATATTATCAAGATAACATCTTCCTTTTTTAGTATAACATCACAGGTTGATGAAGGTTTACTTTTGCAGTGTGCTCCAAAAGGTATTGGTTTATCTAGTTTACAATGTTTAAAATTGGCTTCTTGCTGAATTTAGTGTGTTTACTTAATTGAAATACTTTGTATTTCTTTGAAGTACCATAAAATTCATTTTTAAATCATGTAAAATAATAGTGTTTACTTTTTCTATAGATATAAAGAACTTACTGAACAACAACTTCCAGGAGCTCTTCCTCCAGAGTGCACACCAAACATAGATGGACCAAATGCCAAATCTGTTCAGAGGGAGCAGAGTCTACACTCTTTTCACACTCTTTTTTGTAGACGGTGTTTCAAATATGATTGTTTCTTACATCGTAAGTGAAAAGTAATTTTAAATATTTTTATTATCTGGAAAAATGATTGAAATATTCCATTCTGGTTGGTTTACTTCTGTTACATGCATAAGCACTAGAGAATCCGAATAAGGTGATTTTTTTTATTTTCATACTCTTTGTTCTTTGATTTGTACAGCAAGTAGAATGACTTTATTATAATCAGTGTAATTTTTCAATAATTTCATTTTTCTATATATGAAATGTGTATGATCATTTAGTCCTTTTGCTGAAATCAATTTCCCTTCTTTTGTTTTGGGGCAAGGCATTTTGGCATTTACTCAATATGTAATACTTACCTGAAAGTTACTATGAAATCATGTTTCAACGTGCTAAATTATTTGATAAGACTATGATTTAAGAATACTTTATTTTTGTGTGCTGCTTGTAAGTAAAAAAGCCAGCAACATTATGAGGGATCAAAGACCATACATCTGAAGAATACCAGGTTAAGAAATTTTAAACAAAAACAAAATTGACTCAGAAGAACTAATCAACTACCCATTGTGTATTAGTGTAGTTCTGAGTCAACATTGTGTAGTTGATTAGTTGTGTCCTGTAATCACAGTTGCCAATGTATATCTTTAGCAACTTGGAACTGGATTAAAAAGAAAGACACAATTGAGTGTCATCTGCATGACACTGTATTTCCAAGTTACAAAGTACAAGATTTTTTAATGAGCATGGAAGTTGACTAGTTCTCCAGCAATATTTTTTTTTAAATTTACCTTCCAGAAAGGAATGAAATAATCTGAAAACATATATCACTATTCCAAAAAGGCAGTCTGGAAAGATAATAGTTTTGATGTTGAAATCTTAATATCACCTCCAAACTATTTTAATTGATTTCTCAATTAATAATTGTAAAAAAAGTTGGACATTTAATGCTATCCTCTGATAAGGTAGACAAGGATTATTTGTGCAAAGTGTAGTACAACTATTAAACAGAATTATTATACAATTACATACAATAAAGTCATACTGGGGGCATTCCAGTATGCCATTCAGGAGGTGCCTGAAATTCACAATCATTTCATTGTATTATTTCAGTATTAAATAGTTTATCATGAGCATTGGTGATTTATTACATTAAGTTTCATGTTGCTGAGAGGAAGAATAAGTGAAGGCTTATTCTTAGACAAACTTACCAGATTTATTTATTTCTTTCAAAATGCTCTGCAGCATTCCATGCGACTCCTAACACTTACAAACGGAAAAATACAGAAACTGCAATAGATAATAAGCCTTGTGGACCTCATTGTTATCAACATCTGGTAAGATTATTTTATTTTCTTAGCTTTATTTTTAAAAATTCTTTGAACTGAAGGAAAATAGATATAGGTAATCCCCGAGTTATAAGCGTTTACTTAACGCTCATTCGAAGTTACGCGATAAAGCGCCCCCTAGTGCTTACAAGCAAATCCCAAAATTACAAATATTGTGGCACCACGGCAGTTATTCGTCTTTACGAGCGACTGCAGAGGCTTTGCAACATTCACCGTGGTTATTCCCTGCCTCCTCACCCCACACTGGGTCTCCCTAGGCAGTAGGTCTTCAATACTCACCCTGCGAAGATCAAGATCCTTCACTTTCTTGGCTACTCCAGGCCTTTGGTGCTTTCGCAGATAATGGAGGCCTAAAGTAACTCAAGGTCATGTGAAATCAGTGGGGCGAGAGCTCACGCTACTGATCTCGCGTTATCTCATGGTACTTTAGGCCTCTGTTCTCTGCAACAGAGAACGGAACCAAAGCTGGGGGATGCTTTCCAGGCCTGAATCTGAGGCCTGGGGATACTTCTTTGGCTCTCCTGTGGCCCAATCCAGGCACTTGAGGCCTTTTCTAGGCTTCTGCCGCCCAGATTTGAGGCTGGGAGACGCTGCGGAAGAGGAACCGCATCAGAGAGGAGATGGATCTTTTCAAGGTGAGTCCTGCGCGGCAGGAAGGGAGGGGGAAGCATGAGGTATCTTAGTGGGTCGGGGAATAACCGAGGAGGCAGGGAATAACCACTAGTTCCATCACTAAGCCCTTCATGGTCTTCCCCACCCTGAGATACCTCATGTTCACTTAATGAGCCGTATGCGTCTTAACAAGCAAGGGAGTGAGCTCATTTGAGGTACAAGATTCACTGCCATGAGTTTTTGAGTTACGAGTAAAATGGTCAGCCTCCCATTACACTTGTAACTTGAGGACTACCTGTATGTATAAATTTCTGTTCCAAGAAAAAAAGTTTAGTGAGATTAGTAGTTTGTTAAATATCAAAATTATATGTAGAATATATTCACTTTTACTCAGAGCTGTACAATTTGTGGTCCAGGACTACATGCAATCTCCATAAGGCATGAGTATGTTTTCAAAATGCTTCCAAAAATTGTCAATATTGTAATTTCTAATGTGAGAATGAGAAATTTGTGATCTATTCAGAAAATAATATTAACTATACTTACTTTATAATTTTGATTCTGCTTAAATTAAATTAAATTATTTCAAATTAAGTTTATGTTTTGGCTAGTTGGGCTGTTCCTCCTTAACAATCATACCAGATTTTTCCCTCTTTTTCTATAATGGTAAGTGAGCATGACTTTGGGAGATGAGGAATTGGAAGATGCTTTCAGACTTGTTAATGTAGCTTTACAATAAAATAGTATTAGCTTATCTGTTTGTATTTCCTGACTGATGTACCTGAGAGGGGTGACATCAGTTTTTCAAGTCTGGAAATATACATCTCCCACTGTCTCCTATATAATCTAATAATGTTGGGCATCGGATCCCTTCTGAGCATCTTTCTCCAGAAATACAATAAATATATTATTTATCAAAATATTTCTGCCAGACTTTTCTGTAAATAAGTAAATCAGATGATTTTGAAAGACAACAGTCCAGCTGCTTCTGTGATAATCTCACTTGTTTTCAATTGTTCTAGCTTTTCATGTTATTGTTGTTTTTGTCATTTCATTGTCTGTATCTAGTTGATTATTTTTACAAAGTGGCGAACCTCTGAGGCTCTCCTTCCATATTCATACACTCCTCAAAACCTGATTTGCTATGTCAGAACTTAATATAGCTCCTTCTACAACAGGCCTTTGCCCATTACTTTATAGGTGAAAGCACCCTGTATTTTCTGTCCTGCATTTTCACTCCACTGTCTTTTGACTTCTTCCTGTAAGCCAAAACACTAGAGCCAGGTCACTCTCATTTCTCTGAAAGTAGGATGGAACTAGTAGATAAGGAAAGGGGTAAAGGTGTATTTTTTTAAACCTTTCAGTTTGTGCCCAGAAGTCTTATGTCAAAAGGAGTCTCACTGCAATCATGTCTCTTCTGATGAAACACATCCAGGGTACTTGTCAATTTTCCCTATACACAATATGACCACTGAGTTTTATTATTTCCATTGCTTGTATATTAAGTCACACCCAGTCCACATGGATGTTTCATAAACCAGCCTGTGGAGCCTCCTACAATTTCCCACTTGCCTTCCTCCAATAGATTTTTTACATTTCTGTTCAGATTACATATATCTGTGATTTCTACCCCTGTCTATAGTTGGAGGGTATTCCTTCCCTTTTCCTTTCTTGCATCAATTATTGTGGTCTTGGATTCATGTCTTGAGCTGTTTCTTTTCCGATTGGGGCAGAACAGCATTTAAAGATCTATTTCAATTTTATACACTCAATTTCTTTCACAAACTGAAGCGAGGGCACTAGGCCCATTCCTAGTTCTGGGCCACAGCAACTTTATCTGTTTGGGAAATACTCTTTAATCCAGGAGTCCCCAACCTCTGGTCCATGGCCGCTGCATGCCAACAACTGGTCTGCACAAACAAGCAAAACCCCCTCTGCAGGATGCAGGCAACACACAAAACCACACACATCTCTTCATGGAACCGGTTCCTGGCACTCAAAAGGTTGGGGACCTCTGCTTTAATCAATCACAGGTCTTCCTAACCACCCCTATATACTTCCCTCCCTGCCCTAGTACCAACTTAGACAACTTCATTCATTAAGAAAATAGAAAAAAGAGGGAGTTTGAACAGAGCCTCAGGAGTCAGTCTATTCAACACAAAAGGGTCACACTCATTCCTCCAAAGCCAAATTTTGCCTTGCTTTCTGGACATCTCTAGTCATTTTCAGCTGAGCTTGCAACAGGACTAGGGATGACTGAGAATTGGAATGGAAGGATCCTATACATTAAACAAACTTCCATAGCCAAAATTGACTTTACCCATAGACCATTGCATTACATACCTAAATAATACCCTTATGTGGCATTAGGAAGAGATGGGGGATCAATCCCACAGCACTCATCCTTTGTTGTCCCTGGTCACACCTTGAAGTTTGTGAATCCCACATCTGATACCAGTTTCAGAATTAGGCGCAGAACCCCAAAATATCAATATTAGAGGCCCACTGCAATTATTTATTCAATGTACAATGGAGGAATTTTCTTCCAGAAAATAGTGGGAAGGATTTCTACAGACAAAAGGATGCACTCATATCTGTACATTTCAGGAAAGGAAGGGAAAATGATAATCGTACATAATGCATAAGTAACAGATGATGTAAGCATAAATATTCATAATTAGCAAGCCTCAAGTTCCCCACCCAGCTACTGTTACTATCTTCAAAAAAGAGTTATTGTCTTAATAAAGAGAAACATACCAATTGAATTGCCCTAGCAGTTTTAATAAAATTTAGAAACAAGGGCATCAAGGTTGCCTCATTCATTTTTTTCTATATTTCTATCTTACACGCTCCCACTCTTCCAATTACTCACATTATGCATATGGGTTGTGCCCTTTTTTACCCGACTGTTCCCTAGGCAGTATCTTTCCTCCCCATCTTCCTAAGTCATTACCACATACCATTTTTTGTATATAAGTTTTTTTATTCATTTTTTCCATACATACAATAGTAATGTTTCAACCAATGTGCTGTCTGAGTTTATATGCTAATACATATTTACTTTCTAATCCTTTCTTCTTTCCTTCAGCCAGTGATAAAATAATTTCCAGTCTTTTCTCCAGCAGGATGGCTGTAGAGTCCAAATGGATGGGTTCTATGACGGCCTTCCTGCCTGGCAGACTGGGTAAAAACTTCGGCCACACCCCTTCCTTTGGGCGTGACCCCAGTTTTGACTCAGTCTCGAAGCCTGGTAGAAGTGCGAGAGGCAGCTCTCAGAACAAAACTAATTTAACTCAAAAAAAAAAAAAAAAAAAGAAGAAGAGAGAAAAGGAATCCCCTCTTCCTCCAGTTGAAAGAAAAGTTTACTGGCAGCTGATAGGACTCGAGAGAGGCAGCCAGGATCGGCGGACTCGTGAGTGGGGCGTCAGGGACTTACGGGAGGCTTGGAGCCGGGCCGGATCGCTCGCCGATTTCCGGCCCGCCGAGCAGCTGTTTGGCGCGGGGGCCTCACACCGGGTTGCTCGTCGCCCTCCGGGTCCGCCAAACAGCTGAGTGGTTTGGCCGATAGAACGAGGCGCCGCTCAGCGTGAAACAGCTGAGCCGCGCGGAAAGCGGCAAACCGCGGCGCCGCTCGGCATAGACCAGCTGAGCGGCGCGAGAAGCAGCCCGACAAGAGCAGAACTAGCGCGAGAATTTCTTTCTCCTTAGAGGAGAGGCGCAGCCCCTTAAGACTAAAGGAGTCTTACTGATTGCCAAAGTCAAAGATCCGCCATTGTTTTGAACCTCGTGGATTCCCGGGCTACCATTGGGAGGCGTGGCTTCTTCCCCATTCGCCATTTTGAACGAACGGATCTACCCGCCGTTTTTCCCTTGGGGGCGGGGCCACCATCCGGATTCCATTTCCTTGCAGACAAAGGGGGAGCCCTCATGCTAGGATCTGTGGTTATCTCAAGAAATTGAGACAAGAGGAAGGAAGAGGGAAAAGAAAGAGAACCGTTCTGATCGTGGTCTGTTGCCACAGCCACAGACTGGGGGAGAGAGAGATATAAACTGCACTTTGTCTGGACTAGGTGAGGAGGTGAGGAGGAGCATTTTTCCCTGACTGTTCCTATAGTGGCCTTTAGTCACTGCCTTGCAGGATCTTCTGTCCAAAGACTCCTGTCTGTCCGGCCATTGTTTGTATAGGCAGAGGAGGGCTCAGCCCCAAGCATCTGCATCTGATCTGCGTATCTTGTTCCCCCACTCCAGGCATTACCTACTCGGGGTGTCTGGCACAATGGCAGACAATGTCTCGTATTCAGTCACACAGGTCCCTCAATTGTCCCCCCCACAGCAACAACAAAAACGCAGATCTTCTGAATCAGAGGTGGGGGGGA